GTTAATTTCCCTCTCCCTGAAACAGTTTCTTAACCCACGGAGTCCTTAGTCGACGCTTGCTCAATAAATATACTGGTACATTTATTCCTGAATGGTACTAGTTCATTGGTGCCAGTTTTCCAGGAAAGGGGGCTATGGGGCTCGTGAGGTGTTGATCTGGGCTTGTTGAGGGGTTCTGACTTACCACCGGGTTCCGGATACCACTCCATGTTTGATCTGACCTCTCCTTTGCCATTCCTAACTCAGTGCAAGTGCATGAGACAATATGTCTTGAGATCTGTTGTATTTTTCTCAGGATTAAAAAAATTTGCAGGCAGGAAAAGTCACTGTCTGGCAAACGCTTCTGTGAGTTTTGACAAATGAAGAGAGTTATATAAAACTACCATAATGAGGGTAAAATTCTATCACCCCGAAGTGTTCTTTCCTGCTGCACCTTTGTAGTCCACCTCTCCTTCATCCTAACCCTTGGCAACTGCTGATCTCTTCCCTGTACCCATAGTTCTTTGCCTCTTCTAGAACATTAATTAAATTATATAGTATGTAATATTTGAGCCCAGGTTCTTTCACTTAGCATAATGCATTTGAGATTTCTCTGTGTTGTCTTATTTTAATAGCTGGCTAGTATTCCATCATGGGAATGTACCACAGCCTGCTTATCCACTCACCAGTTGAAGGACATTTAGGTGGTTTCTGGGTTTTTGTGATTATGAGTAAAGCTACTATAAATATTTACACACAGGTTTTTCTGCGAGCATAAGTTTTCATTTCTCTTGGGAAGAGGCGTGATTTAAAATATCCTTTAATTTCAAAATTTTGGTGTTAGTACACAATGAGCTCTTTCCCCCCTGCATTTCCTTTTAAAGCAACAACTATGTGCTTTACAGGCCAACACCCATAAGTTGCTGAAGTTAAATTTCATTTTGCTGCTGAAAGACATACAAAAGTGTGGCCCACAGGGACACCTGGGTGGCTCAGTTGGTTAAGTGTCTAACTCTTGGTTCAGCTCAGGTCATAATCTCCCAGTTTCATTGGTTTAAGCCCTATATCGGGCTCTCAGTGAGGAACCTGCTTGGGATTCTCTGTCTACCTCTCTCTCTCTGTCCTTCCCTCACTCATGCTATCTCTGTCTCTCTCAAAATAAATAAATAACCTTAAAAAAAAGTGTTGCATGTAACTTGATAGGCAGGTGAAAGAACCTAGGAGTGGAGTTGCTAGGTCAGGGGCACTCTATATTTGCAATTGCTAATTATTCTCTTCAGAACCCTACAAACTTTCATAAAAATTGAACACACATAGGGATTTAGATTCCTGCACTCAGAGAATGTTCAGGCATTTGTAGAATTTAGACCAAAACGGTAATAACATTTTTTGTTTGAGAGTGAGCATACACACACGAGTGGGGGAGGGCTGGAGAGGGAGAGAGAGAATTTTAAGCAGTTTCCAAGCCCAGGACAGGGCCTGAAGCAGTTTTCAGCCTCATGACCCTGAGAGCATGACCCGAGCCAAAATCCAGAGTCTAGTTTGATTAACCATCTCAGCCACCCAGGCACCCCAGTATAACATTTTTAAGCCAGAAGAGATCTTATATGACACTTAGACCTCACTTTATAAATGGGCGATGTGAGGGCAAAATACGGAAAGAGTTTTGCTTGAGGCCCTTTAGCTAGCCAGCCGCAAGTAGATCTCTGGTCTTCTGGCATTCTTTCTAGGACTGTCAACTCTAATTCTCTTGGCATTTGGTAAATAATGATACTGGATTCCAAATAGAAGTAATGAGAATGATACTCAACAATGTGTGATTTTGTAATATTTTTAATTTATTAAAAGTATTTTCATTTTGCCATAACCAGTGGCTGCCTAGTCTTTCCCATCTCCGTAAACAGCATCGCCATCCACCCGGCTACTCAGATCAGAAAAATTCATTATTATCTTTGATGATCAGACGTTAGAAAGTTCCCTGTCACAGAGCAGGCATTCAATAAATATTTATTCAGAGAAGGAATGCTTGAACAAATAAATGTACTCAAATGTCTAACATCTGGTACAACTCTTCTTTCATATCATAGGTTGAAAAGGCATTCATATGGCCAGTCTCAAACATTTGACATGTAAAGCATTAGATGCCTTTTGGTGTCCTTCCTTATTTTTTAAAGATTTTTAATGTTTATTGTTTATTTTTGAGAGAGAGAGAAACAGAGTGTGAGTGCGGGAGGTGCAGAGAGAAAGGGAGACACAGAATCAGAAGCAGGCTCCAGGCTCTGCAGCTTTCAGCACAGAGCCTGATGCCAGGCTTGAACCAACAAACCATGAGATCATGACCTGAGTAGAAGTTGGATGCTTAGCCTACTGAGCCACCAAGGTGCCCCGCTTCCTTATTTTTAAAATGACTTGAAATAATTAAACATTTTATAATGCAGTATGAAAGATTGTATTTTTTAAAGTTTTTGTCATTAACTTGTGCAATATTAGTTTCAGGAGTAGAATTCAGTGATTGAGTACTTACATTCAACAACCAGTGCTCATCACAACAAATGCCCTTCCTTAATACTCATCACCCATCTAGCCCATATCTTAACCATACCCCTCCTTCAACCCTCAGTTTGTTCTCTATTGCTAAGAGTCCCTTGTAATTTGTTTCCTTCTCTCTTCTCTACCCCCTTCACACATGTTCACCTGTTTCATTTCTTAAATTCCACAAATGAGTGAAATCACAAATGAATGAAAGTATTAGACTTTCTCTGATTGACTTATTTTGCTTAACATAATACATTTTAGCTCCATCCACACCATTGCAAATGGCAAGATTTCAATCTTTTTCATGGCTGAGTAATATTCCATCATATATAATATACATATTATACATATAATATACATATTATAAATATTACATATTTATATATTTATAATGCTGCTCTAAACGTCAGGATGCATATATTCCTCCAGATCAGTACTTTTATATCCTTTGGGTAAATACCTAAAAGTGCAATTACTGGATCGTAGGGTAAGTTCTATTTTCAGTTTTTTGAGGAAGTTCCATACTGTTCTCCAGAGTGGCTGCACCAGTTTGCATTCCCACCAATAACGCAAAAGTGTTCCCCTTTCTCTGCAGCCTCACCAATACCTGTTGTTTCTTGTGTTGTTAATTTTAGCCATTCTGACAGGTGTGAGGAGGTATCTCATCATGGTTTTAATTCGTGTTTTCCTGGTGATGAGTGAGGTTGAGCATCTTTTCATGTGTCTGTTAATCATCTAGATGTCTTCTTTGGAAACATGTCTATTCATGTCTTCTGCCCATTTCTTAACTGGGTTGTTTTTTGAGTGTTGAGTTTGTAAGTTCTTTACAGATTTTGGATACTAACCCTTTATCAGATAAGTCATTTGCAAATATCTTCTCCCAATTCTTTATGCTGCCTTTTAGTTTTGTTGGTTATTTCCTTTGATGTACAGAAGCTTTTTATTTTGATCAGGTTCCAATTGTTCATGTTTGCTTTTGTTTCCCTTGCCTTTGGCACCTTGTCTAGTAAGAAGTTGCTCTAGTTAAAGTGTAAAAAGTTGCTGCCTGTGTTCTATGCTACGATTTTTATAGTTTCCTATCTCACATTTAGGTCTTTTATCCATTTTGAGTTTATTTTTGTGTATGGAGTAAGAAAGTGGTCCAATTTCATTCTTCCCAAAACCATTTGTTGAAAAGGCTGTCCTTTTTTATTGGATATTCTTTCCTGCTTTGTCAAGGATTAGTTGACCATGTAGTTGTGGGTTTGTTTTTGGCTATTCTATTCTGTTCCATGGATCTTTGTGTCTACTTTTGTGTCAATACCATACTGTCTTGATGGCTACAACTTTGTGACTTTGTAATTTAGCTTGAAATCCAGAATCATTATGCTTCCAGTTTTGTTTTTCTTTTTCAGAATTGCTTTGGCTACTGGGGGGTCTTTTGTGGTTCCATACAAATTTTAGGGGTTTTTTGTTCTAGCTTTGTGAAAAATGGTGGTATTTTGATAGTGATTGCATTAAATGTGTGGATTGCTTTGGGTAGTATAGACATTTTAACAAGATTTGTTCTTCTAGTCCATGAGCATGGAATAATTTTCCATTTATTTGTGTCCTATAACTTATAGAATACAGATCTTTTACCTTTTTAGTTAGGTTTATTTTGTATCCTTTGGTTAAATACCTAAAAGTTTTAGGTATCTTATTGTTTTTGGTAAAATTGCAAATGGAATCAATTCCTTGATTTCTTTTTCTGTTGCTTCATTGCTGGTGTTTAGAAACCCAACAGATTTCTATACATTGATTTTATATGTTGCAACTTTGCTGAATTGATGTATTAGTTCTAGCAAATTTTTGGTGGAGTCTTTCAGGCTTTCTACAAAGAGTATCATGTCGTCTGCAAATAGTGAAAGTTTGACTTCCTCCTTGCCAATCTGGATGCCTTTTATTTATTTTTCTTATCCAATTACTGAGGCTAAGACTTCCAGTAGTATGTAAATAGTAAAGGGGACAGTGGACGTCTTTGTCTTATTCCTGACCATAAGGGAAAGTCTCCCCTCGGAAGCCATCTGGCCCAGGACTTTTGTTTGTTGGGAGATTTTTGGTAACTGATTCAATTTCTTTACTGGTTATGGATCTGTTCAAATTTTTTATTTTTTCCTGTTTGAGTTTCAGTAGTTGGTAAATTTTTAGGAATCTGTCCATTTCTTCCAGATTGTCTAGTTGGTTGGAATATAATCTTTCATAGTATTTTCTTATAATTGTTTGTATTTCTATGGTGTTGATTGTGATCTCTCCTCATTCATTCATGATTTTATCTATTTATCTATGCTCTTCTGGAAGCATAGGCTTGAGCGCCAAGGGTTTAATCATTAGAGATTGGCTGATATTAAGACCTGGAGAGGATGCAGGCCACTTGGGACACTGGGAAAAGTATGGGATGGTGAAGCATGGGGAACTGGGTACTGGCTGTCATGCCGAAATGAACCCCTGGCGCTCCTCTGTCTGCCATGGCCACCCTTAACTCATCCTCTACCACTGGCACCACCCCCACCCCTGGGCACAATGCCCTGTCCCTGCCTCCGGACACCTCCTCCCCTGTCAACCCCGCTGATCCTGTCACCAAAGATGCCCCTGCTGCCCCCTCCACCTCTGCGAGCATGAGGCCCTCAGAGCCAGGGGGACAGGCCCCAGAGTCGGGCTGTGGCCTCGTCCCACCAAAGGAGACTGGGGAGCCCCGAGAAGAGCCTGGCTGTGGTGGCCTCTCCCCAAAGGACCTAGGAGGGCAAGACGACAAGGAGCAGGAGGAGGAAGAAGGAGAAGGGCTCCCTCCCGTGGACCTAAGCAACCATTTATTCACAGCTGGTGGTGAGGCCTACCTAGTGGCCAAGCTGTCCCTGTCAGGTGGCAGTGAACTCCTGTTACCAAAGGGCTTCCCCTGGGGCCAGGTGGGAATCAAGGAAGAGCCCGGCTTGCCCCTCCTTGCCCACCTACCCTCTGCACACCTCACTGCCCTTCACATCCAATGTGGCTTTGACCCAATCCAAGGCTTTAGCTCTTCTGACCAAATTCTGTTCCATGATATCTCAGCGCCATCTCTGGCCACCTGTGAGGGAAGGGATGGAGTCTTCTGGAGCTACCAACTGGTTCCAAACCCACCTGGAGATCCCAAAGATGGCCCTATGGGGAGCAGGGGAGGAGACCACAGGGTGCTCTTCTGGCTCTGCCTCATATGCCGCCTGGGTTTCAGCAGGGCCCAGGCCTTTGTGGGTCACATACAGTCTCATGGGGTGAAGCTAACCCCCGCCCAACATCTGGGCTTGCCCAGTAGTGCAGCTGTGCTTCAGGCAGGAGATAAGGGCTGCGTGGCTCTCCTAAGCTTTCTGGAACCAAAACCACCTGCTCACCCCCACCCCCCAAATTTTTTAAATCTATTTTGTCTATTTTCATTTGCTTCCATGTATTTTTTAAAAATTTATTCTTTGATTTCCTGGTTAACCTGTTCATTCCTTAGTACGATGTTCTTTAACATCCATGTATTTGAGGTCATCTCAAATTTTTTCTTGCAGTTGATTTCAAGTTTCATAGTGTTGTGATATAAAAATATGCATGGTATAATCCTGATCTTCTTGTACTTGTTGAGGGCTGATTTGCGATCTAATACGTGATCTATTCTGCAGAATGTACCATGTGCCCTTGAGAAGAATGTATGTTCTGTTCCTTTAGGACAAAATGTACTGAATATATTTGTTAAGTCTATCCAGTCCAGTGTGTCATTCAAAGCCATTTTTTCCTTGTTGATTTTCTGCTTAGATGATCTGTCCATTGCTGTAAATGGTCTGTTAAAGAACTCTACTATTATTGACTTATTATCAATGAGTTTCTTTATGTTTGTTATTAGTTGATTTATATATTTGGCTTCTTCAAATTGGGGGCATAAATACTTACAATTGTTAGAGCTTGTTGATGGATAGACCCCTTAATTATGATATAGTATTCTTCTTCATCTGTTGTTACAGGCTTTGTTTTAAAATCTAGTTTGTGTGATACAGGTATGGCTACGCTGGCTTTCTTTTGGCATCCATTACCCTGATAGATCTTTCTCCAACTGATTACTTTCAATCTGCAGGTGTTTTTAGGTCTAAAATGAATCTCTGGTAGGCAGCATATAGATGGATCTTGTTGTTTTTTTTTTAATCCATTCTAATACCCTATATATTTTGAATGGATCATTTAGTCCATTGACATTCAGAATGATTATTGAAAGTTATGAATTTAGTGCTATGTGTTACCTGTAGAGTTGGTATTTCTAGTAATGTTGTCTTATCCTTTCTAGGCTTTGTTGCTTTGGTCTTTTTTTGTTTGTTTCCACTCAGAGTCCCCCTTAAAATTTCTTGAAGGGCTGGTTTAGTGGTCATGAACTCTTTGGGTTTTGTCTGGGGAAATTCTTTATTTCTCCTTCTATTCTGAATGACAGCCTTGCTGGATAAAGAATTCTTGGCTGCATATTTTTCCCATTCAGCACATTGAATATTTTCCTCCCACTCCCTTATGGCCTGACAAGCTTCTGGGGACAAGTCTGCTGCTAACTTTATGTATCTACCTTTGTAGGTTAAGGACATTTTGTCCCTAGGTGCTATCAGAATTCCCTCTTTATGTTTGTATTTTGCAAGTTTCATTGATATATTGTGTATTGCCCTGTTACTGTTGATTTTTGAGGGGAATTCTCCATGCATTTTGGGCTTAAATCAACCCTCTTTCCTTCCTCAGATTAGGAAAGTTCACAACTATAATTCGTTCAAATAAATTTTCTGCCTCCTTTTCCCACTCGTCTTCTAGGACTCCCATGGTACAGATATTATTTTGCTTTATGGAATCACTGAGTTCCCGAAGTCTACCCTTGTAATCTAATAGTTTTCTATGCCTCTTCTTTTTGGAGTCATTATTTTCCATAATTTTATCTTCTGTATTCCCTATTCTTTCCTTTGCTTCTTCAGTCCTTGTGACCATATCTAGTAGGTTTTGCATCTCAGTTATAACATTTTTTTATGTCAGTCTGACTAGCCTTTAAGTTTTTGATCTCTGCAACAAGAGTTTTTCTGGTGTCTTATATGCTTTTTTTTAAAGCCAAACTAGTTGTTTTATTACTGTTGTTCTCAATTCTTGTTCAGACAAAGTCTCTTGCTGTTATTTCTACTTGATCTTTCTTTTGGGAAGAATCCCTCTATCTTGTCATTTTGATTAAATTTCCATCTTTTGTGTTATGTTTTCTATGCCTGAGAGTAATGCTAATATTAAAAAAGAGTCAACCGTTGTCCGGGGCCTGGCTCTTCAGGATGTGTTCCTGGTGTATGCTGTGTGTACTCTGATGTTTTATTTTGGCTGCTCCTTCCACTGGTCTGTCCTCTGCACAGTTCCTCTCCTTTGCAGTGGGGAGTCTTCAGACCTCTAACTAGGTGTGCTTTGATTTGTCAAAATAAGCCTAAAAGAAGAGAACAAAAGAGAGAAAAAGAGAAGAAAAAAGAACCTTGATCCAAAAAATGAGAAAAGAAAATGGAAAAAAAAAAAAAACCCAACAATCAAAAAAACTACAAGCCTGATTCCAAAGGGGGGGTAAGGGAGAAAGAAAATGAAAAGAAAAAAAAAAAAGTAAACCACCTATTTCCACCAGAACTGCAGGTGACACTTTGAAGCACTCTGTGTTCCATGTACTTAGTGCCTGCCGGGTGCTGCCTCTGCTGTGCTGGCTCAGTGTCACACTTGCCCCAGTAAATAAGCAGTTTCCAGGTACAGGGGGGCAGATTTTGTTGTAAGCAGGTCCCACCTCCACTGGGGGCTGCTGTGTTGCTCTCTGAAGTCCCACCTGGTGGTGAAGGGTAAAATGTCACCACCTCAATCTCCCATCCCTGGACAGGGGATCTCACACCCCCCACTGTTTAGAAAGCCCTCATAGAATAGCGAGGACAGTCCATGTTCCCCCCACCACAGCTCTCCTGTGTATTTTCTTTGGCCTGTGGCTGAAATAAATGTACTCCAGGAAGGGAATGTTCTCTCCCAGCGTGATTCAGGAGATCCCTACTCCGTACTATGCACTCTGGAGCCAGTGTCCTTCTCCCCAGGAGTGCATGCCAAAGCTCCACCCCAGGGAAACTCCTACACTTCCAAATCCTTAGAGTTGGAGCTCCACGTGCTGTTTGAAAAAAAAAAACAAAAACAAAAACAAAAACTCACAACACTCCGTACCTCTCACTCCACAGTCTGTGGTCAGGACACGGTTTGTCTTCTGTGAATCCAAGACCACACTCTCTCAACCCCTGTCTCTTTCCCTTTTGTCTCTCCACAGAAAGAGTTCCCTCTCTTCTGAGGCACCACCAGAAGGAGCCCCTTCTGCCAGTCCTCAGATCAAGTTCCTGGGTATTCCAAGTGATCTGACCTCAGCACAGCTGTGTTTGAGAGTCAAGGAAAGCACAGTGTCCCCCTACTTCTCTGCTATCTTAACTCCTCCCTCCTGAAAGACTGTAATTTTTTAAAATTTTGTAAGCATTTGTTTATTTCTGAAGCTTGGGATTAGTTTTTTGGCAGCTGGTAATACTCAGAATACTGTTGACTATTAGGCATTTTAGAATGCTACTTTATATGTCTCTCTACCTTTTAAATAATTGTTGAGACAATTCTGAGCAGGCTACACACTGTCAGTGCAGAGCCCAATGTGGGGCTCAGTCCCACAAACCACAAGATCATGACCTGCACTGAAATAAAGAGTGCCCCAGAACTGAGAGAGTTCAAAGACTACTCCAGATTTCAGGCCGGACATCCGGTGTAGACCTCAATACTCCCCACCTTGATACACTGCAGGAAGGTAGAGACAGCGAGTACAGTGTTGGACCTATGGGGTTTTAGATGCTTATGAGGTGTCTAATTTAAAATCAGGTAGGTGGTTATATATTCAGATTCGGAGCTCATACGAAAGTTATGGGTCCGATAAGGGTCACCATAGAGATGTTAATTAGAGCATGTCTTAGGTCTGGTTTTACGAACCACAAATTTCCCAAGTGACCAGTGGGTCACTAGGAATGACATTACTGAAGGATTCTTTCTAATTGCACTCCTTTGCTTCCAGATTCATATATTCTACCTATCAGAGACAGGACAACACATAATGACTATTGGCATAAAGTATATGCTACATTGTGAAAGCAACAGCTCAGCACCATAGTGTATCATCTTCAAGGGACTGCTCCATTTTCTATCATCACAGCAATTTCAGGGTTATACGGTGTGTGGGAGACCAGCAGCAATCTACTTTTAGTTTGTCCCAACTACCAAGCTGAACCATCACCAACCAGGCCTAGGTTTCTTCCTCCTCCATCATTGGATGAGTTCTGAGGTATTCTATAACAGAACCATTCTAGCATGCCCATGTCTCTAGGCTCTTAGATCATTTCCTCAGAATTCTACCAAGACTTTTCTGGCATTTCCCAGGGGCCATTGAAAACAAAAGTTGATAAAAACTAGGATAGAGGCCCACATACTAATGAAGGTGGTTTGAGGGGACCTGCAGACCACCCGTGGTGTATACTACAAAGCCATAGGAGTGGATGCTGTAAAGAAAGGGTAAAGGGAGAAAGGCAAGGACTTCAGACATAGCCCTCCCTTTTAGACCCTAATATTCAATGGTTCAAGAGCAAGAATTACCAACAAATGAGACAGGAAAAGCGTTCCAAAGAGATGATTCACAGACAGGGTTTTAAGAGAAAAGGATCATTGCAATGAACTGGCAGGTGCTGAGTCATTAATGATGTGATGTAATGTTGGGGTCTGGGAGCGAACAGTCAAGAGAGAACTCTTGAGATGTCTTTGGTGCAAAAAAGGTAGCTTTATGAAGGCATAGGGACAGGACCCATGGGCAGAAAGAGCTGGAGTGAGGAATGACTGCTGATACACTTGTAAGTTGAGAGGGGGTTAGGGACACTGTAAATCTTTAAGGGATTTGGAAGCAAAGTTTTCAGGACCTTGAGGGGTTAGTTGCTGTGTAAGATAAGGTCATTTACTACTATCTAGTAAATTCTTAATCATGAGACTCTTCAGATGTATATCAGGGGGCCATATGTTTGGAGAATGATTGCTAGCATACATCTTAGGGCAGTGGGGGTGGAGGGGGATAGAGAGAAAGGAAGTTTCCAAAGGGATTTTTGCATGTTAGAGAAGACTTAAAGGATCCTGGAGGTTGGGCTAATGTCAAGCTAAGGTTGCCTTTTGCCTCTAGCAAACCTCAACTAGGAGGTTGAGTTCCTGGAAGAATGTCACTCTTCTTGTCCCACACGCTTGTCAATGGGCTATAAGTTACAAGGAAATTTAACTTTTTCTACATTTCTTTTGCCTGTGTTCTATACATCATTAA